ATGTCCTTCACACTTCCATAAACTTTGTCGTACATTGACTTGAATCTCTTTTTAAACCCTATTTCAGACAAAAAGAGACAAACGATGTGTGAACAATACATAAAACTGACCGCCACTGTAGGTCATCCTTGACAACAGACACCTTAAGATGGTGCCAGCTAGCAGAGAGCTACTACCCTGGGGTGGAGAGTTATTGAGTTATTCTCAGACACCAGATGGGGGAGTGCCGACATAAAGCCAGTTACATACGAATCAAGATAAACAGGTTGAGACAGAACTGGTGACAAATGTGTTTGGGGAATGGATGGTGGAAATTGAAGTCCTCTTATAGAATCAGGCCCATTAGTACACAAGGAGGAGCCTACTAATACTTCCAAGGCTAAAAGCCTACACAATAACTGAGCTATCTGAAAGAATTTTGGAGAACACTATATACATTTAGCAAAATTTAATTATAGTTTATGATTAGTATGTCAAATATATTAGGTTGTATAATGGATTCTACAAACTGAATTACCAAGATTTTTTCTGCCCACTGAAAAATTTCAACATGCTATTTGTCTTCAGTATTAGAGTGCCATCTGAGCTAACCTTTAATAATAACAGGCAATCTTAATCCTTAATACGAACATGCCATCCAAGAAAATCTCCATATACCAACAGGCAATTACAGATAGTCTTCAAATAAGAATAGGCCATCTCAGATCGTCCTAACAATACACTAATAGGCCATCTCAGATAGTCCTCACAATACACTAATAGGCCATCTCAGATAGTCCTCACAATACACTAATAGGCCATCTCAGATAGTCCTCACAATATACTAATAGGCCATCTCAGGTAGTCCTCACAATACACTAATAGGCCATCTCAGGTAGTCCTCACAATATACTAATAGGCCATCTCAGATAGTCCTCACAATATACTAATAGGCCATCTCAGGTAGTCCATACAATAAACTGATAGGCCATCTCAGATAGTCCACACAATATACTGATAGGCCATCTCAGGTAGTCCTCAATGCAAAGCAGCCATCTCAGGTAGTTCACACAATATACGAATAGGCCATCTCAGGTAGTCCTCACAATATACTAATAGGCCATCTCAGATAGTCCTCACAATATACTAATAGGCCATCTCAGGTAGTCCATACAATAAACTGATAGGCCATCTCAGATAGTCCACACAATATACTGATAGGCCATCTCAGATAGTCCTCACAATATACTAATAGGCCATCTCAGGTAGTCCTCACAATATACTAATAGGCCATCTCAGGTAGTTCACACAATATACTAATAGGCCATCTCAGATAGTCCTCACAATATACTAATAGGCCATCTCAGGTAGTCCTCACAATATACTAATAGGCCATCTCAGATAGTCCACACAATATACTAATAGGCCATCTCAGGTAGTTCACACAATATACTAATAGGCCATCTCAGTGGTCCTCACAATATACTAATAGGCCATCTCAGATAGTCCTCACAATATACTAATAGGCCATCTCAGGTAGTTCACACAATATACTAATAGGCCATCTCAGATAGTCCACACAATATACTAATAGGCCATCTCAGTGGTCCTCACAATATACTAATAGGCCATCTCAGATAGTCCTCACAATATACTAATAGGCCATCTCAGGTAGTCCACACAATATACTAATAGGCCATCTCAGATAGTCCTCACAATATACTAATAGGCCATCTCAGATAGTCCTCACAATATACTAATAGGCCATCTCAGATAGTCCTCACAATATACTAATAGGCCATCTCAGATAGTCCACACAATATACTAATAGGCCATCTCAGGTAATCCTCAATGCAAACAGGCCATGTCAGACAGTCCTCAAGACTAAAAGTCCATCTCAGATATTCCTAAATGTTACAGTTCATGTAAGACAGTCCTAAATATACAGTAAAGTCTTATGAACCACAGTGATTTAATGCTAGAAATATGAAAGAGCCAGGTACAGCCATGCCAATTAAAACCAATAAACATATAAATAATGTTACGAGTAGACTGACAGGATTTTTAGGAAAAATGAAGGTATTTAAAGATCATTACCCTGTTACAAGTATTAACATAACTAAATGTTAAAACATCTGATAACCAATGATATGTTTCTGATATAGAAAATAGAGCAATAACTGAATAAGCAATTCAAACGTATCATCATTATGAATAAGTACTCAGACTACAAATGAAGACAAATGGAGATTGAAGACCAGTAACTGTGATATAAGAATATGTGTGAGCAACATAACTCCCTAGCTCATATACTGGCAATACTTGTCAACCTTGCTCATTCAGTGTATCAAGTAGTTGGAGTTTATCTTATTTTTACATAAACAAATTTTAATTTTTGTTTTTCTTTAATTTTGCATGTACGCGTACCACTATTTTCTTTCCCGAGAATATTATATACAATCTACAATATTGACAACATGCTGGTACTTTTTCCTCATTTTAAAACTTGTTTGTTGACAGTGTGTACTACAGGTAAATATGATCCATGGAGGACGATGTCAACTGATAAAACAGGTATCTACAATTATAAAGTAGTATTTCACTGTAAAACATGTGATAACAACATTCCTAAGATTATGCCAAACTGAGGGTACATAACAATACAAAAGGACATATTGTACAGTTGATTATATGCAATGGATCAAATTTCATTACATTTGTGGTCAGTAAGAGAGAATGCGCAAAACCTAATATCCAGCAAATATCTTAAAATGAAACCAAAACTCAGAAAACATGTTAAGTCTGCATATATGTGAGTATTAAAACATTGCAAAATATTAGCCTTGCAAAAAGTATACGTAATACAGTAAGACTGAGGATGTAAAGACAAAGTGACCACAGTACAAAGCCATGACAGCCACCAGTTACACAGATATATAAGAACGCTGTAAGGGTGATGTATACCTTACGTAGACACTAGGTTTGTTTGCAATCATCTGCCTGACAACATTTCATACTGTAATCTAGTTTTTTCTGGAAAAAAAATCTGAAAATTGAATCAGCATGTGGAAAGCAGTACTAGAAGATGGTCCAATCAGAGCCTGATTGTCTGTTACAGACTCCAGCCCTACCTAAATCTGATTTACTTGTCAAATACAAGAACACTGTCAATACAAGTAAATAAAAATCTTAAAAAAGAAAAATTGATTGTCTAAAATTTCGCCCGCATAATGTAATCAAACCTTTTATGATCTCTAGATCAAATAGGACTGTTGATCTCCTAAAACAGTATATTTGGAATCAATAGACATCAATGATTAAAAATAAATAAAACCGTTCCCATCCCTCACACACACACACACACACACACACACACACAAAAAGTTGGAAATAACAATTTTGCGAGTAAAAATATTCAAATGATCTGATAAAATTGAGAATTTTTAAGTAATTTTCTTTCTAATATAAACTCCATTATGAATGATAAAAGTGAATTTGTACAGGACAACACTTAAAAGCACATGTAAGGTATAGATAACATCTACTGAATGACCCAATGTCAATAAAAAAATCATCAAAGTTTTAGAGAAATAGCCATTATAAAGCTGTAACAGTGAGCAGTCCTCAGGCTATGGATAATAACAGTACATGATTTTACCATTATCAGAGAAGTATTAAATTCATTGAAAAATTGAAGCTTGGATTCTCAAACAGTAAAAGGAGAATGTCATAAAACAAAAACAATGAGAATGTTTTAAAACAGATGAAAATCAGTGGTCTTGATGGCCTGATTCAGTGGCACAACATTCTCAATGCTATGCCTAATGTGTTAACCCCTGTCTTAGCAGAGACTGTATCGTCTCTCATATCCTCTAATGTACAGAAAGATTTCTGTATTTTATGGCATTTTATGGATAACTGTGAAGGGCGGCGTTCAAAAAGTCATGTGACAAGCCTGTATCAGGCATGCTATACTCCTTAACTCTCCTTCAAAAAAGGATTGTTACAAAAGATTTCTTATGTGGAAACCTTTGTAACAATGGATTCAATACACTCTAGATGTATTGTAACTAGTAACATTGGATTCACTTCACCTTAGATGTATTGTTATTAGTAACACTGGATTCACTACAATCTGAATGTATTGTTACTAGTAACTTTGGATTCACTACAATCTAAATATATTGTTATTAGTAACACTGGATTCACTACAATCTGAATGTATTGTTACTAATAACATTGGATTCACTACAATCCAAATGTATTGTTACTAGTAACACTGGATTTCCTGTCTTTTTAATCTTTTAGTTACATCAGTTACATTGCATCAATAATTCGCCCTCAACTCCAAATCTATAGTCACTATTTAAACTCAAATTATCCCTAAATCCAGGATTACTAGTTACATTTGATTTATTATACTCTAAATCAGCAGCAATTTCATTCTGACATAGATTTTTCCAAAGAACCCTTTATACACTACAAACATTTTGTTCTTTGGGTTTCAGCTGTTTTAGTTTCACAGTTAATGATAGTTCTATATAAGGAATTGATTCACAGATCACAACTAAATATGTAGAAAACCCCAATTCTTAAAAAGTATTCATTCTTGAAGAAAATTATTCCCTAACAATTGATAACCTTGAGATTACAGATTCTACACTATGTTGCATAGAGAATTGATTTTCTATATTGAAGTACATAGTGCCTTCAAACTCATTATAATGACATAGTGTAGTGCCTTCAAACCTTCAAACTCATTATAATGACATAGTGTACCTGCAGGTTAGGGTACAAAATTTGTTATTCCTGTTTACATTTCATACTAACCTAAGTCAACATAACTCATAATTCCTTCACAAAAAATAATGTGTTCTAAAACATGACATCAATTTTTATGACATATCCTCTATGTCAAATTTTGACTAGGCTGAATTATGACTAATGCCAATTTTTTCTCAGACCTACAAACAAAACCTATTGCTATTGATAAATCCTGTGTACACAGTCCTTGTAATTGTCTAGTTCCTGGGGTTGTTACTCCTGATGTGATGGTAGGTCTTCTCTAAGCTTACGTAGGGGGAGAGGTATAGAGCCACGTAGAAGAAGATGTTACAGATGAAGGATGGAATCACCGGCCAAATGATGACAAAAAATACACCAGACAACAAGCTCTTTCCATAATTTTTTCCGCTCATTGCAATGTTCCTGAAAACCAGATACATGTAAAGCATATAAAATGAGGGTATATTGTCAAACCATTAATTCTTGTGGGGGGTATATCTGAATTCATATTGCTAATGAACAGAATATTTGTGGATTTTTATAAGTTCTATTATCTAGAAAATTTAATTCGAGCCCCAATGAAATAATTATGCTTTTATAAACTATAAAATTTGCATCTAAAAAAAAGGAAACGGAAACTTTGTTTATCAAAAACATTAAACATTATTACAGCATGACATATCAGATAACAGATGTTAAAACTGACGTAATTAAAAGGAATCAAAAGCAGGTTTTAAGAAGTTTTAGGAAGGTCTTACTGTATGAAGAAGCTAAAGTGATTGGTCAGGAATAAATAGATAATGCCAAACTGTTCATCTGCAATTTGGAAATCACACCTCAGTCACCCTTGTGAAAGTCAAGTGAATTTTCCACTGAGGTACAGACTACCTTACAAAATTGAAACGGGCAATACACCAGACATTACAGCAATATACTTCATAATGACAGGATGAAGAACTAACCTGTATTCGCCTCGTAGGAAGTTGACAATGAAGGTACACTCCAAGTAAGTCTGACTCATACAGGTGAGTATTATGAGTCGACTGATCCAGTAGTGGGTAGTCATCCAGTCATAAGCATAGATTCCGATGAGGTAGTAAGGGAGGAATATGCCACAGGATACAAACTCGGTCAGCTGACGGCTCGTTATGTTATCGAACTACAAAAAAATCATGATGTTTGCTGGAAAGGCTGTTAAATATGTCTCATTTTAGCACCTGCTGCAGTAAAGGTCAAAGCTATGATTAAACTTTACTTGAATAGAAAACTGAAGTAAAAAAACAAAAAACAAAATAAACAAAAATCAATTTAAGAATTATATTAACAACAAAAGTTTTATCAAAATGTTTTCTTATAAGTAAGAACAATGCCAATAAAATTGATAAAAACTGATTACACATGTTAAGTACAGATGTACATAAAATAGGAGGAGGTCTGTAACTATTTCAATAAACACTGATGAGATACTTGTAACCATATTCAAGACACACAATCATCAACTTAAAATCCAAAAGCTTTCAATTCACAAAATTCTTTAATTTTTATTGAAACATTACATTGTGAAATCTGCCAAGACAAATCTGTGAAATCTGATCATATATGATTTTGAATGGATAGCATCAAAATTGATAACAATTCTGATCCTTTTGCTGTGAACAACAACAGTTTTGTTTAATAAAAGTACAGACTACAGCTGACACATGCCTAACTTCCTACCAGCACACTGGCAGTAAAATTGCAATATGCTGATTTTCTAAATTGGCTCTATTCAAACACATAATTTAAATGCAAGGACTTGAATATCTATAATTTGAAATGTCTAGTTGTGAAGCAAATATTTCTGATTTAAAAACCTGACAAAGTATTGAAGATTAATACCAAAGAAATCCAAAGTGATTTGAAAACTTGAATAAGGATGATGGCAACACTTATAAAAATACAGTTGATGAAAATTAATAACAAGAGGCCCATAGTGCCTTAATAATCACCTGAGATTTCCAGGTCTTTGGGCAATTTTAGAACCTCTCCATCAGTCCCAGCATTAGGGCAGACAGAACAGAACTGATGCAAGCATATTTATAAAGTTTTTATTGTTTCTAAGTTTGAAGGTTTAATTTTCAATTAAATGGAACTGATAACACTGCCTGTTGTTGTAGTTTAGCATATTTGATCCCTGTGACCTTAAATGTAGGTAAAGGTCATTCATTTGAACATACATGTTAGCCCTTAATCTCAGCATGCTACTGGCCCAATATCATACCATGGAAAATTTGGCTATTGAGAAGAAGTTGTTAAAAGTTTTAACACATTTGCCTCCTTTGACCTTGACAGTAGGTCAAGGTCATTTATTTGAATAAACTTGGTAGCCCTTCTGACCAGAATGCTACTGGCCCAATTATCATGACCATGGATCATTTGGTTATTTAGAAGAATTCATTTGAAGATTTGGAAACATTTCACCCCTGTGACAGTGAAATTTGGTCAAGGTCATTCATTAGCCTTTTGCTGTTTGAAAAGAAGTTGAAAATGTAACCTGTTTACAACGCTAGACAAATGACACCAGACAAAAGATGATCATGACCTAAAACTGACACAAAAATTCTGTGCATTAAAAGTGACATTGCTGTTGAGAACAATGTCAGAATGAATGCTGAACAGAATTAAAATTTCATTAAAAAAGGTTCCAGTTTATTTAAATACAAACATTTCTTTGACAAGTTCAAATTTTTACAGATTTGACAAGAAAGAGTAAGTTTGTAGAGAGAAAAGCAAAATTTAAATACAAACAGGCAATGGTTTTGATCTAAATACACCCCTGACAATTCATTGCACGGACATCATAATGCTGTTAACTTCAACTAGCTGTTATGAAAGATGAGCAAATATGATCATTGTCATGATTCACTTTATCAGATAGAGCTGACAAATAAATAAAGAAAAATAACACAACAGAAACACTAATAAACAAAGCATGCTTCCAGTCTGTTGTCTAGAACTTGGGGGCTGTCATAACTCAGTGGGTAGTGCACCAATGTTAAGATCCAAGGTGTGTGCTCCATGCTCCCTCCCTGTGATAGTTTGTGTTTTATCAGGAAGCTGAGAAATGCACCAGTCTATACTGATGTGGTTGTGTTCGTGTTAATTGGGCATGAAGACATTTTAACCGAGCTGTTCTGGATAGCTATATAGTGATAAGTTACTTCAAGGAGACCATATCTCATAATAGCCCTGGTTATTGACTGTGCAATAAAAACCCAGTGTTCAACAAACAAGTCTCAAATATCAATATAAATTTAAACGTCATAAAATATATATTCCTGCTTATACTACAACCACCTTATAAACTTTATTACTGTAAAGCCATATGTTTCTGTGGGTTTTTTTTCAAAACTACTTTTTCTTGGACATTTAATTTCCTAGATACATAAAGCTAAATAAACATCACACTAATTATGACAGTGTGTGGACATCTAGATTTGTGGATTAAGAGTACCAGTGAAGTCAGCAAAAATTAATCCTCACAAAGAATAATGATTTCACGGTAACCACCAGTCAATTCTATAAACACCATTCAGTTTTGATCAGGGATGACAATGACTGATAATATAGATTGGCCCACACACTAAGGATAATTGCTTGCTATCTGGTCTTTGATTCCCAGGATTTTTATGGTAATCAGATGTGTTTATGTTAATGTCACAATAGGCAAATCCAAATATGACCACAACTTACATAATAAGAATTCAACAAATACTTTGGTTGATGTTCCTTATAAACAAAAGGAGAATTCAAAAGTCTGTAAACACATCTCATAACGTGACTGTTAAACAGCAACCAGACAATTAACAACTTAATTATTATATAACAAAATGTCTAAAACTACTAGTGTTAAACAGAATTGTTAAATTACCAGCTTCTTACATACGAAAAAAAATTCAAAGTGATGAATATCAGACAAACATGTAGACAAATTCCCGCTGTGCACATTAATGATGGAGACAGACATGCTTTTTAACGTGATAGCTCTTACATTAAATCACCATACTTGTACAAGTTATGCTTGAAACAGTATTAAACTGCAAGACTTTCAAATCTCTTATCAACAATAAATGAAATATCTCTATGAAGACATAATTGCACTGGATGATCCTTTTGTACAGCAAGAGTCCAATCTTGACAAATATTTTTCTTCATAACAAGTATGAAATTCCGAATATGTGAAAAAACTTTGGAACAGTGTTGAAACTAAGATCAGTTCTACTATGAGAAATGATGAAAACACTGGGGTCAAGCAGCCTCAACTCCTACAATTTGGAATGGAAATATAGGTATGAAAATGTGAAACAAGAGGCCCAATGGCCTTAACAGTCATCCGAGTTACAATGTTGTTGTTGGCCTTGTAGTATGTCCTCGAAATAATCTTATCAACAAAGTAAAATAACTTGAACTACATTTTACATGTAATACAAACATTAAATGTGCATACCATTACCTGCAATCAAATGTTCAGGCTTCAAACCATGTTTGAATTTAAAGAATTACACTCAAAAATTTTATTTTCCTATATAAACTTACATACATGGAAAGCATTTTATAGATTGTATCATATCTGGGTGTTGAGGACAATTTTGAAACTTATGTCAATTTGACCTTTAGTGGCTTCACCCATCAGCACCTGGGGGTCAGTCAGGGTCAAGATGTGATTATCATCAAACTGGCATCAAAGTTTGACATATTTCCAATAAAAAATAAACAAATTATGCTCAAAAATGGAATTTTTCTACATAAACAATAGTGAACTTTATCCCTCCCCTGGGGAAATGTGAGACACTTTAGACTCTTCCATCCATAAAATGTATTTGATTTTAGCATATACTGAGGTAATGAGAAGAAGGATTTTGAAATTTCAACAATTTGACCCCTTTTTGGCCCCGCCCCTCAGCCCAATGAAGGGTCAGGACCATCTAATTAACAGTTTTGGTTCTGCTTTGGCTATGGAAGTTTTCTGCAAACTTCATGATTGAAATTGATTGAAACGTTTCTCAGAAGAAGACGAAAATGTAAAGAGTTTACAGATGTATGATGCATGACACTAGACAATGGGGATTGCAATAAATCACCATCAGACATTGTGTCATGAGAATGTACCAAAACATCAGACAATGCATCTATCATCTTATAAAGACCAAAGATCAATTGTAAGAAATCTGAGCTAATGGCTATTGACCAAAAAGTCCTGTACCTACATTATAGTACAAGGATACAAAAAATCAGAAAAGGGGCATAACACCCAAGAAATCATAAAAATGAAACAAAAAAAAATTGCAAATGGAACATGAACTATAATTTTAGTTGAAAACTACTGATCATATGTTCAGTTGGTTGGTTGACTGACAGGTTTTTCGTCTCCATGACTCCTCCTATTTCCAGACATCATCTCATTGTTAAACATCAGCGTTCTGGCGATGTGAGAGGGTGACCTGCATCCCCCTCAGAGGGGTGGAACCATCTGACACGGTGTGTGGCCTAATGCTATCCCTACACCCCTGGACTGGCATTATCATACCTGTTCTTTTTCGAAAAGCCACAGACAGATCTTTAATGTGGGAAATTGGACAATCCTTGCATGGGGCCACCCTTTAAAGTCCCATCTGCCAAACTATGATTAGTGGTTATATCTATGTAATTAACACTTGTTACTTTGGTTGAACATCATAAATCCTTTTCAATCATATGTTCAACTTCACACAAACTTAAACTGATTCCATGAAAGGGGCATAACCCCTTGAAAAATGATGGTAATATAATGGATATAAATATAAGTAAACTGTACAGTGTACATCAATGTAATAACTTTGATAAGAATGAATGAATGAGTGCTTTATTATTACTTTTAAGAGCTCGCTTTCTTTTTTGAAATTTTGCTACAGTGTGCATTTGTTCGTACATCATTTATAATTAACAAGTAACTGTATGCTGTGTCAATTCCAAATTCAATGATAGCAAAGTGAAAATTTAGTAGCCGTAAACATATACATTACATTTTTACATCTTTTTCTGTTCACCCTTGAACTAAATCTATAACCACCAGCCAAGACATCTGCAATTGAATTAGTTAGAAGAGGAGCCATCCCAAACGATTTCACAATTTACTTTTTC